TCAAAACTGCAGAGAATCGGAGGATGTACGGCGCGGCGGCGATGCCCTAAATTAAATAAATCCTCGGTGTGAAAATCGAACAGACGGATTAATCCAGCACGGGACATCCTATGTAACGGATTGCACCGCACGAAACGCACGTGCGTCATATACGCAATGACGGACCGTAAGTAAAGTCAGCCAATCGGATTGCGCGCCACGCGCGAAATCAATATCGGCCGATCCGTGATTAATGGCAGCGACGCGAATTATTATTCGGCCGAATTATCTGTTTTGCCCGCGGATTAATTTCGTTTTATCGGACGTCCGAGTGCGCCGAAAAGTTCATCGTCCGGCAATCGTCCACCTGATAATTACCAAGATGACTATTTATCGTGCAATCAGGTCGGATTTTAGTCCTCTCGCCGCCGTTCGGGTCCGACATCCTCGAAGGTTTTTTTCCTTTCCTTTTTTTTTCCATGTGCACTACGAGATTATGCCAGCTGCTCTATGCGGACTGAAGAGCTGTCCGCACATGGGAGAGGATGGAAAAAGGGGGATTGGGGGACAACGGTTGAAAGGCGAGTAGAGAAATCCCGCGGATTTCGAACCAGCCTTGTCTCCCCGTTTCTTTCGGTATTTGGGATCTACGCGCGCCCCACGGGAAATCGTTCTGAGCGGTGTGTTCCATCCGAAACAGGTCTTCGAGATCAGCGGGTTACAGAAGGAAAGCGCCTCTTCCAATTTGACCGTGACAAATCGTAGTCAGAGGTTGACTGTCTCTTAGGACCCGATCGATCGGTATTACACGTGATATTCGAGGAAGTAGGACGGTCCATTAACGCGAATCGAACGAGTTGCCTGGTTGCGTGTCTCGTAATTGCACCGTACAATTAGTGTTAAGTGCGATCGCCCGATTCTCCGCTTGTGATCGTATATACCGAGTTAGAATTTCGGAGCGACATAAAATTAAGGTCTCCGATCCATTGCAAGCGCATTAAATTGCATCAAAAGCGAGGAAGTCAAGTGTGACTTATTTGCATTGTATGTCGGAATAAATTTTTTTTTTTCGCTCAATTTATTTCTGTTAAAAATAAATTTTGCGATTTCATCAAGATTTATAGCCGTGAATTCATGAATAAAAAGAAGTCTTCGGTATATTTAATAAATTTATTCTATCGAATACGAAATGTGACAGGTCGAAATAAAAGTTCGTAGCTCTATGAGCTTCAAAATTCAAGCAATTTCGTTAAAAATGAATGACATTTAAATTTTTTAATAGGACTTTAAAGCTTAAAACCTCTACTTTCGTAAGATCACTATGTTTTTTGACAGTTTTTGTGAGTTTCACAACTTTTCTATAGAAAACTACGAGCTGAACAAATGAGTAAGTTTCTTCTCACTGAGCCTGTCACGTACCCAAAAAAACTTGCGAAAATTTTCTACTTTCTAACAAACTTTCTCAACAAAATCGTTTTTCGAAAATGTTTCTGAAATTTTTTGTTGCTGAATTATCACGAATTAAATAAACGGAGTCTTTTCATTTTAATTGCTCGTAACTGCGTTAAAATGAAAATTATCGCAATTCAAAAAACGGATTCTTAAAATTGAAACTCTATTTTATCGAATGGTATAATTGCCAAATTTTTTTACATAGAAAATGATACAAATGGGATAGCGCTACGAATTTTTGTTCCGATAGAAATTAATTCCTACAAATAAAGCAAGAAATTCGTGCAACTTTTTTTATTATAATTCAATACTATTGCAACAACTGATTGGGAGATTTAAAAATAAATATTGTAATTCACATTTAGACTTCCACATAACCTTTTATATAGCGGAAAATTTTAGTTCTCACATATAATTTCGCGCGTAATTCAGATTCCTTCGCTGAAAGGCCGACAAGGGTAAAGGTTGTTGACAAAATAAAAATTCGCAACGTTATACGTAGATATAATAGCGTGATGTTCGTCGGCGGCAAACAAAGGGATAAGGCCCTAGCTACGATGGAGATCGGTCCCACCTTGTACGGTCTTGATCCAAAGTTATCTGAGCGGCGCACGCGAGAGAACGAACGCAAGAGCAGATTATATTAAATGGCTGGTAAAACGGTCTGCTTAACATAGCGTTTATCTGCTCCTCTTGGTTTAGTACTTTTTCACTGCCTCGTCAGCCATCGTCCATAAACTCGACTATGACTATCTCGTGTCTCTTTTCCACTCGTATGAAGCGAGAAGGAGAAAGCTCTCAGTACATTTTTCCGCGCGCACGCGTGTGGCACTCTACACGCAGCCGGGCCGGAACTCATAAAAGATACAGGACCGTTAAAACGGTTCATCGTCTCGAGTGCTCATCATACTTTGACGCCTTTTTTGTTTATGATAAACTCTAACTAAAACTTTCTCTGTTATTCTTTGCTCTCCTCTCTTTTTCGCATCGAAAAATCAAGTGCTCTTCAATGCAGTCCATATAGACATTGATTATTTATTTTATTTATTTATTTATTATTTAAATTCTAATAAAAAATCTAGAGTTATATATGTATAAATATTTTATACGGAAGGATAAAAGTATGCGCTCTGAAAAATATGAATGTAAATTTGACATTATGGGTATTAAATATAATTCTCATCGTGTTGGTGTAAAATTACATGCTGATAAAATTCACATGTTTATGTCAACACCAACACAGTGAGAATTATATAAATCGGCATGATATTAAATCCATATTTTTTAGTACATAGAATATACCTACAATAAAATTCTAAATGTTTCAAATATAACTTTTTTTTTTTCAAAATATTGCCAATATATATTACTTTCCAACAAAAAACACATGATCATATCATCCTTGTTTAACATTAGCAAATAACAAGAATGTAATGTGTGTTACTAAGTATCTCTTGCTGGAAAATATCCATTATATTAAGCACATTATAAAAGTATTTTTATATATAAAATATTCAAAGAATATGTCGATAAAAAAAAGTCATAAAAATTATAAAGACAATTCTGAAAACATCTTAGCATTTTAATAAAATGTATTATATATACATTCATTTCTTTAGATAATAATAATTACATTAATAAAGTTTAAAAAGTTTTCTGCGTAGAATATCTGAATATCTGTACAGATACTACAATTTCTTAACAAAATATCGTGAGATCTTTTATGCTATGATTTAACTGTACAAAACTGAAGTAGAAAGGTCAATATCTCCGTGAGCTCGAGGCAAAGTACAATTTAAAATCCCAGTATAACCGAATGACGACAAACGAGAATACAACGAGGAAGGAATAAAAGTAATGAAAAAGCATAGGGTTATAAAAATGCATAGGCATTCGAAGATGCGTTAGCAAACGATTGCGTCCACATTTAAATTCCTCCGAAAAACAATCAATAGCGATCTCGTTCTCTTTTGATCGCGAAAAAGATATCCTTTCGTCGCGTATGTACTCAACGCCCATTTGGAAATATCATAACGTTACAGAAACGTGGGATGTCGTTGTTGACGTCACAGCCTCGTGTCTCCTATTTGTGTGTATGTGTGTGTGTGACACACACACACACACACACACACACACACGCACACGCACACGCACACGCACACGCACACACCGCTGGAGAAGCGATAGGAAAGAGAGTAGCTTAGTATGAGGGGCGTGGTGTAGTGTGGTCCTTCCACCCCTAACGGGCAGCGAATACTTTTGACGTAACTTCCATCCCTACATCAATCTCTCTCACCCCTCTTTCGTAATTTCTCCCTCTTTCTCTCTTAGTCTTCCTCGATCGTGTCCCCCAGAAATAATTGCGCGTTTCGCGGTCTCTTGATCCGCGCGTAAAAGTAATCCAAACATCGCATAAAAATTATGTTTACGAGTTTCGAATGGTTCTCTCGCAGGGGTCGCGCGGTCGAAGGGTGGTCGAAGGGAGCATCAACGCGGGTTGCACTGTCGCAGATAGGGTTCTCTCGCAATTTTTCGATTTCGCTCTACTGCGCGCTTACGAGCCGCGACACAACGGCTCGAACGTTATTCACGAAGAAGTTACGATCTTTTTCACGTTCAGAGATTAAATCTCGAGTTGGCAGTCTCGGCGTGTTCGATTTTCAGTGTTGATACACTTTGAAATGCAGTCTTATCGCCTATTATCAGACTTCTTTCGCAACGAAAAAGAAGAAAGAATCTAAAGATCATAGGAATCGGATCTGCGAAGCTCAACATTTTTTGGTTTTAATGAGATATAATGACAATTTCAGTAACATTCTCTTTTCATAGTTCTGCAGTTCCTTATAAAGAGTTCTGCACTTTTTATATTGAAAAAACCAAAAGAGAATACATATGGTATGCTAATTTTGGTTTTTTGTTATAAAATATGCGGAACTTTTTTTATTTTTATTAGGAAGAAGTAGAACTATGAAATCACTGGAACTGTCATTATTTTTTTTCATATTAATGTAGGAATCTTCTGTATACGTACGTAAAGCATCGAAAACCGAGGTCGTCTCGAAACGCGGTCGTCTGTGCCGATTTCGATCGATTCCAAGAGTTAAAAACGCAATTTAAAAATCAATACCAAATACTACTAGGCGCCGAAAGTCAGCTTAAATAAGACCTATGATTTATGATGTACAATAACTCGCGCGCACGGACGAATGGAATGAAACTTCGCTCGAGCATAGATATAATCAATGACGCTGCAAAAATAATAATGCATTCTCATAACATTCGATTTCTGCATCATGTGAAATACATATGTATAAAAATACGCGGCACTGCCAGTTTAATACGAGAGAGACTAAAAATACATTGGAATCCGCGGTCTCTGTGACAAGATGAGTCTCTGTCGCAAACGAGAGTCTGTCACATCCAAAAGTAATTCATTTAAAAATTCCATTCATCCGTTAGCGCGGTACAAAATAGGCGAGTCGTTCGCACGTAAAGTTTAATGATCCGAGCGGTGCGAGTCGAGCAAAAAGAGCAAATGCCCGTGTTGTTGCAGAGAAAAGATCACTCACCTGTCTTCTCCTTGATCTCGCAGAGCACCGAAAACAGGGCGGGCTTCATCCTGTGGCAGTTGAGGGTGTGTTTTCTGCAAGCAAATTCACGAATAGATTAGCTCGACGTCGCTATAAAAAGTCTGTTCTTTGTAGCTACTATAGCGTACACTTGTACTTAAAATGAAATAGATATACATATATTTAAAGTTTGGCGAAAGCGAGATATCAAATTTTTACGGTCTGATATAGCAACAAAGAACAGACCTAAAGTCACACAAAAGATGATTGACGTGGGTTTTTTTACAAATTCAGGATTGACCTTTCGAGAAAAAAAAAAGAATGCTTTCCAATAAAAAACATACTGAGAGAAAAAAACATCTCAATACAAAAAATAAACTATTAGAATTCATCAAATAAATAACTTTTTTGTGTTAAGTAAAATTTTTTTATATCAAGATATTTTACTTAAAAGAAGAAAGTTATTTATTTGACGAGTTCTGATAGCTTATTTTTTTTTTGTATTAAGACATTTTTTTGCTCGTACAGTAAATCATGACATTTTTGTGTGCCACTGTTAAACAAAGATGAAATTATCACTGTATTACACAGTATCTCTTGCTGAAAAGCAGCCAGAAGTTGCCCTCGAGTCCGTCGAGAGGAAAAAAAATCGTATGACGAAGGAAGACAAATCTAGATACCATCACTCCGCATACAAATTATATGAAATTATAACTATCGCCACCGAAATTAGTGGCTCAGTGCTAATAAAGGCAATTCACTTAATTCAAGGCCGTATGCTTAATTGAGGACCGCAATATTTAAATGGCTAACGTTTAACGCACGTCGCGAAAATTACAAGTGTCTCGCTCTGCACTCCGTATAAAATGCACGTATTCGTGGGAGGCACATCTGGCGCTCTTTGTAGCGGACGTCCAACACGCGGACAGGTACTTAATATAACTTAACATACATGAGCAAAGCCAGGTGAAACAGGCAGCCACACTTTTAGCCGCGTGTGTGCACAGACGAGACAGTTTAAATGCAAGGAGTTCGGAATTCGGAGTACCACCGGATGCTACGTTTCTTTAAAAAATTTTATTCATAAAACGCGTTCCCTTCGTTTGTTTACTCGCTAAATTGCAAAGAAAAAAATGTGACATCAATCTCTTCGCGGATCGATAAATCCTATCTAGAGAAATGCCTCGCAGATCCGTCAAATTATCATAAAAAGATAGAAAGGATGTTTACCGAGATATGTATTCCGTAAGATAAATCAGACTGATTAATGCGCTAATGAATAACACGCGCATAATTAGCTAAGTATACGTCGAGACCCGCAGTTACACAGTGGAAGCACTATTATCACTCGTCGTTATTAATAAGCACACTGCACGTTTTATAATACCGTATAATTAACTGCAAAGATTGTGCAAAATGCTCCCCGCGTGTTCTTTTTAAATTGATATATGAGATAAGAAGAACGGTAGAAGAGATGTACTTTTTGCGTGACGTTGCGAGAACCGACGAGCGGTATAACATGGGTACACTTTGTAATCTATACGATTTAATGCGTTTCCGTGAACCCGGGGACCCGAAATAAAACCGCGTGCACCGTATTTTATACGCGGGCATCGTCTTGCTTTTATGAGAATTTCGTTTACACGGTACTCCTCCTCCCGAGTAGTAACGAATCGACCTCGTAAATCGAAAGTACCATTAAACCTTTAATTCCGCTATTAACGAGCCGTAAACATAATTTTCTGCTCCGACGTAACGCTGATAGACCTTACGGACACTTTAGCGCCAAAGTAGTCGTGGCAATTAAGAATACGGCACTACTTATTTTAACTATAAAGTATAACCGATTGTGTGTAAACATTAAATAAATATATATAAGAAATTTTTAGAGAGTAGATTTGAAGAAAGACTCCATTCATCAATCTTTAAGAATGAAACTTTACCTTTCAAAGCGAGAATCATTCTAAAAGTTTTAGAAAGTGAAGTTAGAAAACCAAATATGCAACGGTTTCCAAGTGCCGGAAGTGAACGAAACATTCAAGGACGAAGGGGCAGGTAAAAGAAAGCATTTAAAAGAAAGAAACGACAATTCAATGATACAATATTGAAAAGGTATTCTAAAGGTAACTGGACAAGATCAAACATCGCATCCCGCGCGCAAGCACATAAAAAAATGGCGGAACGAAAAAGGAGGAAAAAGGATACGAGACGGCAATACCTCGCTTGCGCCTCGTCCAGGCTCTGGTCCGTGATGTTCATGATCTGCTGTAGGATCTCGCCGATGTCCTGTTTCCTGGCCTCGACCGCCTGATCGGGGCCTTGAGCCGCAGTGCCGTCGACCGGGCCCATGCTGCCGTAGCCGGCGGTGTTCTGGGCTGCCTGGCCCTGGTTTCCACCCATCAAACCCACACCTGATCCTCCGTGTTGCAGCATCCTGCCAGTCTCATCCATCAACCGAATGCTCGCGCTACTTCACTCCCGTTCGCGTGCTTCGCGATGCCGTACGCACGGACGTGTGTCGTGTGTATACGTGCACGCGTGACGTGTGTCGCCTTGGGGGCCTCCTCTTTATTTATTTCTTTTTTTTTTATTTATTTATATCCGCTACGTCGTGGCGCCCAGACGTGACCGACTGACGGAGCGCGCATTCGTGTCGCACTACACGCACGTAACGAATTTATCTACGCGTTATAATCGTATACCAGGTGTCGCGAAAGAACGCGTAACAAAATTGAATAAATCCAACCTTCACAATCTACCGACTACCTTCTAGCTCGACGGACGTTGCCGCTGGCCGGATGTTGATGATGCACGTGCTTTCTCTCTCTCTCCAATCTCCTCTTCTCTTTCCCAGATACGTGCCTGAATCGTCGCTCTAGTAGAAGGCGCGCGTTGCACACTTGTAAAAATATATTCTCTCCCTTTCTCTATCCTCGTAGTGACGAACACCTCGTGACTTGGACTCGCGCAACGATCCCCAAAACGCGCGGCGCGAACGATCGACGACTTGGAGGTTATGCCAACGCCGCGGTCTTTGTCCTTCTGCGTGTCGTACGGCGCTTTTAACTCCGCTCCGTTCCGTCCCGTTTTCCTGTCTCCTTCTCTCTCTGTCGCTCTCGCTCGCTCCCGCACCGTAGCACGCTTACCTTCCCGCTTGGCGATGCACTTCTATCCTCGTTCGGCTCTCTCTCTCTCTCTCTCTCAGTGCCTCTCCGCTCCAGCGATGCACTTTTAATTATCGTATTTTAAAATCTGGTATACACAATATAGGGCAAGTAGAGAATAGGATCTCCTCTGGCGGCTCTAACATTGACGGATTGTCGGATTTTACGTATACGCGGTTATATTGAGACGGTCGGCGTCGCGCCCGGACCGCACTCCTTCCCTCGAGTCAGCACA